TTGCCCAGGCTGGAGTGCCATGGTGTCAGCCTAGCTCACAGCAACCTCGAACTCCTGGGCTCAAGGGATCCTCCTGCCTTAGCTTCCCAAGTAGCTGGGACTACAGGCCTGCACCACCATGCCCAGCTAATTTTTTCTATTTTTAGTTGTCCAATTAATTTCTTTCTATTTTTAGTAGAGACAGGGTCTTGCTCTTGCTGAGGCTGGTCTCGAATTCCTGACTTCAAGCGATCCTCCCCGGCCTCCCAGAGTGTTAGGATTATAGGAGTGAGCCATCGCACCCAGCCTTTAGGAATACTTTTAACCAAGGAGGTGAAAGATCTGTATTCTGAAACCTATAAGCCACTGATGAAAGAAACTGAAAAATATACAAATATATGGGAAGATACACTATGTTCATGGAGTGGGAGAATTAATATTGTTAAAATTATACCATCCTACCCAAAGCAAGCTACAGATTCAATGCAATCCCTTTCAAAATTCCAATGGCATTTTTCACAGAAATAGAAAAAACAATCCTAAAATTCATATGGAACCACAAAAGACCCCAAATACTCAAAGCAATCTTGAGAAAGAAAAATAAAGCTGGAGGCATCACACTACTTGATTTCAAACTATATTAAAAAGCTATACTAACCAAAAGAGTATTGTATTCTATAAAAACAAACATAGAGACCAATGGAACAGAATATAGCTAAGAAATAAACCCATGCATACATGGTCAACTATCTTTAACAAGCTTGTCAAGACACAATGAGGAAAGGATAGTTTCTTGACTAAGTGGTGCTGGGAAAACTGGATATCCACATGCAGAAGAATTAAATTGGTCTTTTATGTTGTTTTATGTTACTGAAGCAAAGGATGAAAAGAAAGGAGAGAGAGCAAGTGAGTAAGCTGTAAAATTAGGTTAGGACCAAGTTATGGAGGGCACCAAATGTCAGGCTAAGGAGTTTTGGTACTTTATTCAGCAAGAAAATGAAACTGGAAATAGAGATGTGTAGTATCTTGTCAAAGGCTAAAATAAAGGATACATTTGGTTTTAAAGTTCAAAATAAGTGCAGCCCACCAAACTCTAGTATAGAAAATGTTTATATTAATAGTTCGTTTTAAAGAACATATGCAGTTTAAAGAAAATACTTTGTAGCAAAGTAAAGATAACTCAATGATTTATTCAAGGCCAATTTTTTTTCAAGTAGTCTTTACTTTTGAAGCACTTTCTCTGGTACAACTCTAATTTCAAAATTAGTATTTCTCCCATGCTGATAAAACTGGCAAAAATTTCCAAATTGGTGATGGAATGGTGCTATGTACATCTGATCAAACCAGCAGCAACATAATGTCAAACACAAATGGAGAGCATTAAAAAACAAACAAACAAAAAAGCCCAAAAGCCTATAATGGCAACTCAAAGCATTAAAGCAGCAATGGTATCAAGCAGAAATTAAAATCTCTAATTAATGCCAGTGAGGACTTGTAGGTTAATTTTGAATTTTATTACTCCTCCTGTTAGTTTAAAGCAGAAATCTCTTGCTACTCAAATTCAAATAGGGTGCAGTGGACATGTGTTACTTTTGTATTCTCAGTAACCACCTTTCCTTACCTGCTCCCTACATTCTGACTTTCTTCTAATAATTCCCCCTTCCTTTGGGGGAACTCCTTGACTGTTTAGCTCACAGATGAAATGTGATTCAATCTGGACAAAATCAAAGTACTTCTCCAAAATTTTATATAGTTTGCTGCCATGCTTTGGGTTCTTAGCTATGATGAGCTAAGCTGAAATTGTCAATCCACCATCTTCTCCTCACCGCCCCACACCCCAAAGAAAATATCCCCACAAAGAAAATCTGCTTTGAAGAGAAAACCAATCTAGAAAAAAAAAATCAGAACCAAGTGTGGAGGATGGCAAGATGACTTCTTTGGATGTTTGGATCCAGTCATGCCTGGACTTTCCTGTATATGAACCAATAAATTGCTTTTTATGCTGTTACTAGTTTGAGTTTCTGTCACTTGCAACTTAAGGATGACCCGTTAATAATCAAAGGTGTACAACATCTACCTGAAAATAAATTTAGTGCATTTTAGTGCCAATAGTCCCTTTTGTGTTGCTATAATAGAATATCTGAGGGTAGGTATTTTGTAAAGAGAATAGGCTTGTTTGGCTCACAATTCTGGTGGCTGGAAGGTTCAAGATTGGGTGGCTGTATCCAGCAAGGGACTCATGCTGCTTCTACTCATGGCAGAAAGCAGAAAGGAAGCAGTCATATGCAAAGACATCACATGGCAAGAGAGGAAGCAAGAGAGAGAAAACCAAGGAAACCAGACTATTTTTGACAACTCACCCTCACAGAAACTAATTCATTTCCACAAGAGCAAGAATTCACTCACCCCAGTGGCAAAGCATTAATCTACTCATGATGGATCTGCCCCCATGGCCCAAACATCTCCCATTAGGCCCCTCTTCCCAAGACTGCCACACTGGGAATCAAATTTGAACACAAGTTTTGGCAGGGACAAACCACATCCAAACCATAGCACTGTATGATTAAACAAAAGTAGACCAGCACCTTTATGTAAAATTTAGTAATAGGAAATCAGGTACAACACATGATGTAACATGAATTGAATAATAGGAAATCAGGTACAAAACACACTATATGTTAACCCAATTAAACAAAATATATAAAGGAAATTGTTGGCATTATGGTTATGTGCTTAACATTTTATTATATTAAATACATTGTGAAACCTGAATCCCATTACTTGCTCCAGAGAAATAAATTGGTTCAACTACACTTTGGAATCTTAAATATTTATTACAGTAACTTTCTTTAATTCACATTTATAATAGGAACAGGTGCAAGTTTTATTTATTATAATTTATAGCTATGAATCCCATATGTAATAATCAGCAATTACAAAAGGCCTAACTTCTCTTTGAAATTATTGTTTAAAAAATAAAGCCAGGTGGAGTTTTTCTCCTTTTAAATAAATGTCATGCTTGAACAAAATGCAGGATGTTGAACTTAATATGGGTCAAGGAGTTTGTTTACTCATCAGAATTTGTCAAGAATCCAAAATGGAGAGGGCCTCTAAAAAGAAATTGGGTCTTAAAGCTACCAACTTGTAGGGCTCTCAGTGAATTATTCCAATTTCACCCCCTCCAAGCTTTTGACATGGTTATTCACTAAAACACATGTTTACTATAAATCCTATGGGTATAAATTTGTATATTGATCAAATGAGCTAATGGTTATATTTAGTTAAATGCTTTCCTAGGAAGTAGCCTAAAATTGAAAAGTTTAATAGAATTTTAGAAAATAAAGATGGGAAAGATGCATTAGATCATGTAGATATTTTCTTTCTTTTTTTTCCTCCTGGGCAGGGGAAAGTACAGGAGAAACTGTTCGGGTTTTGTCCAGTTTTCAACTAGGAGGGATAGAACTCAACACTTTTCTTGGAAATGAGACTACATAACAAATTTCACTGTGAGGAAATTCCTCTCCACCCTGATATTCAGATCACATGTTCTTTTTGTGTACTTCATCCCACTTTTCCCAATAACAATTTCATGACACGTTTGACTCAATTCATCCTATTTCTTTCCTGTTTCAATGAGACACATTTCACTTTTAGATTAAAACTGAATTCCTTGAAATCCCATTTAGTTGTCTCTCCAGTTATGTGAACAACATAATTCCATATAAATTCTTCACCATATCAGAAGATTCCTGAAGTTGCTTTTGGGGGGGGGGGAGAGAGAGAGAGAGAGAGAGAGATAGCGAGAGATCTTTTTTTCTCCCCCTCAAGTTACAAGGCCTTATTTTCTATGAATCACATTTCCACTATTACTTTTATACCAAGGGGCTTTTTGGCATTATTGTTTTTGAATTCTCTTCTCCAATTTCTACCTTAAGTTATATATATTTGTGTTCTACAAGTTTCTCAACGCTTATATTCTCATTATCTTTTCATATATCTAATCTTTCTAAGTCTCTTTAACTAATGTCTCTGATTTCTTTTTGGTCTAAAACTTATTCCAACTGTAAACTAAAACGAATTTCATTAATGTCCAATTTTATCATTGTTTTTTAACCATTAAGTACACACATGCAATACAGATGTAATAATCTTTTACTCTTTCATAGTCAAACTGTATTTCCATAATGATATAAATTCCAATAAAATTAGGAAACTTTTCAATATGTGAGATCATAATGTATACAGAGCTGCCATAAGGTATAAATTAAGCCATGTATATACATGAATACATACATATACATTTCAATAACACATTGAAGAGTTCCAAGGTTTTTTTCTTTAGTTATTGCTAGACACATCAAAACACAGTATAAAACTGGTCATCACAACATCCCTGTGTGGTAATGATGAGAGTGGACTGGGAATGTGATGAAAGGCACAGAATTCATAAGACATAGCTCGCTTTATGAAAAAATAGATCCAAATTCCTTAGCACTGATGGTTCAAACAATATGGAGCCACTGATTTTCTGAACTGAATATAAGAAAATAGTTGTTAATAGTATTTATTCACCTTCCCAGTACAAGACATTGTATGGAGAGTTTCCCAAGTATGAAAGTTGTCACAAAAGTGATAATTTACACACAATCCTCAAGCCAAGAATGGGCAACGGATGGAAGATTAGCTCTTCTCCTGTGGCTAGATGGTACATCGCATGGCCTTTCTGTTTAGTGAGGTTCTACTAAAGAGAATGCCAACTTTGTGGTTGACACAGGTGATCCTTAGGTTTGATATTGTATCACACTAACAAATGAAAAAGTTTTCAGCATATGGAATTAAGCATATTAAAAGTCAGGGCCTATGAAGCATTATGCTGATCAGAGTTCTTAATATGACTAACGGGTTCTGGCCTTACAAAAGTCAATTAATTCAACAGGCTATAAAATATATTTTTTAAAAAGTTTAGATTGTTTAATTACATTTTAGACAAACAAAAAATTCCAACTATCTGTTGATAATACCCTAATCATCCAATAGCCCATCAATGCATAGTCCTCTGCAACTGTCTGGAAATTTTCACCTTCTTCCACAGAAAAAGCGCTTAATTTTCATTGCCAAGTTTCTTGGTAGATTCACTTTTCACTAGGGAAAAAAAAAGTAAACATATAGTCAGTCAAGTGTTTTTCTTTTTCCCTCTTCTCTTCTCTGTTCTGATGCATAGCAACAGCAATGCTCATGGGGATAGACAAACTGTGTCATGTCCCAGGCAGCTAGGATGTACAATTCTGGCCACAATAAATAAAGTAATGATGTCTGAAAGCAGCAATTATATCTAGTGAGATAACTCTGTGGAAGACTTGGGAATGGTCACTTCACAGTGTGGTTATGATCCCATATTCATGCCACTGAATATCAGATCACTATTGTCACACAGGCTACCCACATGTGGTTGGAATAAATTTTTCCATGATTTGTTTTTACAACTTAAAATTGAGGGTCAGTATATGTTGAGTGAATGTGAGCTGAGGGAAGACTAGCTAATCACCATCTCCTTCCTTTCACAGGAAAGAAGACTCAGAGTGGAAATGGAGCTCCTTTGAGGCTCCTGTCTTGCTTAGAGTGAACACTACTACTATTCACTCTCTAAACTGAGAGTTCCTTGAGTACAGAAACTCGATCTTTTCTCCCTATATCTATCTCCACAGTGTAGACCACGTTTGTGGGACCAATATAACTGCAAGTCATTCTGTCTCTTAGTTTTTTCTTCAAATCTGCAAAATGGGGACAAGAGTAAGTACTCTACTTATTTCATTTATTGTGAAGCTAAAAGGAACTAATTGATAATAACCCTTCGAAAATTATTATGGTTAAAATATAAGTTATTTTGCTTGAGGCTTATAGCTATTATGGCCAATACGTAGATAAGGAAAATGAAGCTCAGAAAGAAAGAGTGAATGCTTAAAATTCCACAGTTTATAAAAGCTGATGCTAAAACCATAAATCTGTTTCTCTGCCTCATATTCCAATTGGCAAATTCATTGGGATTTGCTAATATACCTAGATTTCAGATTGTACCAACAACCAAAATGCTGTTTACTGAGTCCTTTTTATGAGTAAGGCACTGAAATAAGTTTCATCAAAGACATGGTCCCTATCCTTGTGGAATTTTATTAACTCTAGTAGAGTCTTTCAAGTGCCTCCATATTACAAGTTGGTTGTTTTCTCCTCTGGCTTCCTCTGTACTGTAGGCAAACTCTATTATAGCACCTATTGTAGTGTAAGGTTTACATTTGTGTTCTTGTGCCCGAGGTTCCTCCCCTTGCCCCACCCCCATCCCCCTGGGGAAAGGGAAAGCAAAAAAAGAGAGTAAAGAGGAATGAGGAAACGGCAGCAAGGGAGAATAGATGAAGATTTATTGGCCTAATAAGAGACTGATATGTGAGTAGCTGCTATGTCAGGTATTTTCACTAATTCGAGTAATTGATTTGTGTTGAATTCCTTCTCCAAAGACAGAGGCATTTTCTAATCTTGAGTTAGATTAGAACATCAGAGAAATATATCTGGCTGTTATTTTTAAATAAATGGGGCTTTATAGCAGTGTAGGGGATACTTTTCCCTTTCTTTGCCTTCTGAAGGTACTTGTTTTCTTCTTTGAATAGGGATCCATTCTTTTTCCTTAGACTGAAATGCAGCATGCTTTTATCAAATCATTTAAATCTGTTAGTCTAACTATGGCTAATAAGAGCCTGTGAGGCATGTTACATCATTGTGAGCACTTCCCATCAGACTGATCTCCAACCTAGTGGGCTACCTTAACTGCTTAACCTATTACAGTTAACCTTTTTCATTCCTTAAAAAGCAAAAAACAAAACAAAAAAATCTTGCCTATTGCAGATTAATAAAGGCAGACTTTTGAAAGAATAAATTGTGGCAATCTACAATCCTAACAAACATTATAACAACCATCAAGTGTGGAAACTACTGAATCCCTGCCCAGAAACACATTTACCCTCCAAACTAGAAAAGAGACACCTTGTACTATGAACTCAGGATCAAAATCCAACTCTTTTGCCTCCGGAGAGTGAAGGAATTTTAAAGGCTTTCCAAAGAAAATGCCCTGTTCTTATATAATCCCCTCCCTCATCAAGAAACCACCCTGCAGAATATCCAGTGCTGTGAGAATGTACAAAGAAACAGACATCTTGAAGTGCTTATAGAAAGAAATGCATGTACAGGAAGACCTGGCATTATTTTTAAGGTGTGTGTACTTATGATGTGACAGCACTGGTATGGTTCTTAAAATCCTGTCAGATCCTCTTCAGTTCTTTGCTAAAGCAGTTCTAAATAATCCTCTGTACTAAAAGGAAGAGCCACCTGTGTTCCTGTAAACAAGTCAAATATCATATACCCGCCAGAAAAATAACAAATTTTACTTAATAAGGTACCAAGTACACCGCCAAAGTAGTCTTTTCTTATTGCTTCATTACAGGACTTGAATGTGCATTCCTAAACAAGGTGAAAGGAGAGCTGTGTGCTGTGTTTATTTACACAGACGATGTTTGCCCTAGCTAGGAACCCACATTACTAAACAACTTTCCCTGAAACCAACATTTAGAGAGAGCGATGTATGAATCTAAGGAAAAAGTAAGGTATTACAAGCTTTAAAAAAGTGAAAGTGGACATGTAAAACTAAAATTCCTATTTTAAGAAAATAAATTCAGATATTCTCAAATTGTAAAAAATATAAAGACAAGAATAAAAATAGGATATAAGAGGCCCATAATTTATTATTAGAAATTTCATCTTTGCTCATGAAAATCTAGTTTCAAGTTGTGGCAATGACAAAATTTTGGCCACTTTGAAAAAAAATGTATTTTGCAAAGAAAAAAGCTATACACATGTACAGAGAACGCCCTACAATATATGTTACTGCCTGTTACAGCCTGTAATGCTGGTATAACAATAAAACCTGAACCATACATTTCAAATACTATTTGAAAAAACAGAGTTCAATCCAAAACAAAGAGTCTATGCTTCTCTGGAATTTGTTACCATGAAACCTGGTCAATACCTATAACTCTTGGCTGAAAGTACTATCTAATGGTTTTGTGTTAAGGTGGGTACCTTCCTCATCTTTTTAAAGTAATTATTGAATTTTATTCATCCTCTAGAATCTTGCATTCAGAAACACAATTACTTTAATCAGTTGTTGCAAATATGGATAACTCATTTTATACACCAAACTTTTCTGTACATTTTTTCCAGTTATAATACTTCCCCATATGGGTAATGAGACAAAATCAGAAAAATAAAACCAGTGGGTTTAAAAAAGGAGATTAAGGGTCAAGGCAATGGCACTAGCTTATTCTAAATGCAGTCAAAATTTTAAACAAAGTGTTCCTAGCAATATTATCCCTCTCTATAAGGTAAGATAATAAAAGTATTTTGTAATCCCTCATTTTAAAAATTTTTAAAGTCTTAATTAGGGAGTAAATCTATCTGATCATGGACAGATTGTTAATTAAAGACTATTAGCTTAAAAAAAGACAAAAATACACAGAATCCCAAGTAAAAATAAAGTCCTTTTATAGCCAGACATTCAATTTGATTCATTCAAAATTGGTACTATAAGCTTACATGCTCTCAAACAGAATAGAAGCGGCAGCTCATTTGTTTGGTTCTTTACATTAACTGTAGCTATAGAGTTAATTGTGCAAATGTGTAAATATAGTGGGAAAACACATATATAAAGAATTAGGGAGTCACATTTTGCTTCACTTTCTGTAGAGTTGTTGTACGTATTGTAGGAACAAATTTACACTTACCGTGGTGAAGAACTTTCATGTCATCACTGGATCCTTTCAATACCACATGTAATGTTGGGTACTCAATGATTACTTTGTTTCTCAAATTGTCTAGGAGACTTTTATAGGGATCTAGTTCATGATATCTTATCGATAAAAAAGCAAAACAAAAAAACACAAAACACAGTTAATATTCAAAATTATTCCCAAATAAAATACATGAGTCCCTTACATCAAAAATTATTTTAAGGTGATGACACTATTTCAGTAGTTATTTCCTTGAAACATAGTAAGTTAATACCTGAGAAAACCAAGTAAAAGAGCTATTATTATAGAGGTTCTAAAACTAAATCAAAAGTATATAAAATATTTTGATATTAGGAAAGCTATAGAATAAGTTACCAATTTTCATATCAAGTAAGAAATAACGATTTTTATACAGGGCCAGGTGGTGCATGCCTGCCTGTAATTCCAGCTATGTGGAAGGGAGAGGCAGGAAGATCACTTGAGCCCAGGAGTTCCAAGACCAGCCTGTGTAAATAGTGAGATCTCGTCTCAAAAAAAAAAAAAAAGACTTTCATAAGATCTAGGTTTAACATGTTATTTTGCTTGGATAAAAGAATGACTAGCCAAAAATTCAAATTTCTCAAATATATTTACTGTGAGTCTTAAAAGAAAAACAAACAACTGTCCTGTGGTAAATAATTTCTAGTAACATAGGATAGTAAAATAACTGGCTACAAAATACTTTTGTAAAAAGTCAATTCTAATTATAACTGGTTTCCACAAATTCATATTACCATAAAATTAAATTTGTCTTTCCTTCATTTTGAAACTTACAAAATCAGGTTTGGGTTTCTGACTGATGCAAAAGCACAAAATTTAGTAAATATGGAGTTTATCATGACATAGCTATCAAATGTGTCACAGGTAATTAGATACTAATATTCATTAAAGTATGAAATTCTCAAGTCATTACTTTAAAAAAAATAAGTCTGAGTTGACTATAGATGCATGTTCAGAGCATTCTCTTTTGCTTGCTTTTTGGGGTGAGAGAAAAAGGGGTAGAAAATTTTAGCTAGCTCACTAGTGACTACATAAGGGAATATGCTGGCATATGAATATCATTTCATGTCAAACGAGGAAAAAGTTGAGAACATGTCTACTAGTGTAGTGCAGTTCTCCATTTTTTCCTCCATCTCCACCAATGAGAGATGATATTCACATGCAAAACACACATCCCATGGGGTATTCGGCCTGATAGCTGCAATTCCATCCTCTTCCCTCCTGCCCAAGAAAGCGCACTAGAATACGGTGATCAAGAGTGAGATTATCGTCAGGATGCATTTCAATTTGCTGTCATTTTAAGAATAAATCATTTACAAACTTTGGTATTTCTTAATTGGCTCATTAATTTCTTAATTAAATTATTTGTGCCATAACTCACAGCTGACTGAGACATGCAGCTCATTTATTAAGAACTATGGTGTAGTAATTTCTCTGGGTTCTAAGTTCACACCATGCAATAGTTTTCAAATCAGGGAAAATAAAAGTGCTTAACAAAATGCAAACCCAAGCCCACTATAAAAACTGATTTCTTTTTAAGAAGTAGGTGTTAAAGTGAGAAAAGACCTGTAAAACCAAAACTTCACTTATGCATCCTTGACCACACGCCCCACCCTGGAATTAAATTCTTCATTTTAGAATCACAGAATATTCTTTACGTTGAAAAGAAACTTGAAATACAAAATATTTAGTTTTTCTAAATGAGCCACCCTAGTGCCTGTGGACCACAGAACTCATACATTCTTTTCCCTGTGTAATGTAATACAGATGTGCTTACAACACTTTAAAAGTGGTCCCAGAATTTAAGGAGTAAATGTTTCACATCTTTTCAACATTATTTCCCTTTGAAACAGGCAGTATTTTCTAAAAGTTAGCAGTAATTATACAAAAGAGGAAAATGAGATTTATTAGATACCCAAGCAGAAGATTAACTTACAAAGTAAAATATAAAATGAGCATAATTAAATTTTTCTTGGGAGAAAACAAGACCTGAATCTCAAACAGGAAATTTTCAGGTAGTATCCTACAAACACCTGTGAAAAGTAATCTTCTGTGCATTTTAACTGAATCGTAAGACTTCTATTGAAAGAGATTCTTCCAATAAGGGAATGTTTTTCACTTATTTCAGTTTTTGGTAAATAATTTTCAATGCATACTTAAAGTTTTAGGTATTTTATTTCTTTTGTACCATTAAATCTTCATTGGGTTTCTCTAGATTTCCAAAGTAGAAACAATAAGAAATGACAGCAACAAAAAAGTTTTTCAGAAGCCACATGGGAATCAGAGCCTAACATTATTACTGATACAGTATACAATATGTTCCTACCAGAGGAATGTTCAGATATACATAGAAATTACCATATAACAAGCTATACATGCTTTCAATCCTAAAACTGTAATAATTACACCTGTTAAAAAACTTGGTCCTTATTATACGTGGCAAGCAGGCATTGTGCAAAACACTTAGGATGCAAAGATTTATAAGATACTTGTCAACTAATGAATTATTTTTAAAAGATTTTATACAAATGCAATGAAAACTTGGTATGTGTGTGGTTTTGCTTAGAATCACTGGATTTTATTTAGTGTTTACCCTAAAATGTTGCAAACTTCTAATCACAACAATATTGCTATTGAGTGTCATTGAGTTTCTAGGCTGCAGCTTTCCACTCTGTTACCTGCAGAGGTCAGAGTTCACTAAATAATTTAGCTGAAATTCTAAATTTCTTAAATTTTCTATTACTAGTGGTTACTCTTAGCCTACCATTAATATTTACCAGTAATTTAAAAGTAAACTGTGTAAACTGTTCATAAAGAAAGGCTATCAAAATGAGGTTAACAGTTTAAGGACTTGGAATTCAGTTAAATGAAACAGATAACTTTTAGTGGTTACTTGGGTTTGGAGTCTAACACTGATTTAAGGTTCTAGCTCCATCATTCATTGGTCTGTGTTCCTGTACAAATTACTTCTCTAATCCCCAGTTTCCATCCTTGACACTGGGGATAATGAGAGTACCACTTCAGAGTTATTGGTGAGGGCTGAATGATAAAACATAGAAACTGCTAGCTCATTTATTTAAGCCATGAGCACATCAGTTTTACATTTGCATTTACCTAAATAACAACACATTCTTATAGAAACTTTAGTTCATGACATAGTGATTAGATTTCTTTAATAACAAGGAATAGTACTTATTATATAAGCACTGAAGCACATGTTAAGCTACATTTTAAGTGTAGCTTTCCAACTTTCAGTACAAACTTCAAACCATTATTTTATTTCACATGTACTTCCAACAGGCTCAAAATACTTTTAATGTTTCTGTTTCCATTATCTTGAGGCAAGTTTTCAGAGTCCAGCTTTGCACTGCCTAAAACATTTAGGCTTTAGCTCCTTTGCAAGCCATTAAGTCACTGAATCCTAAGGGACAGCTTTATCTTCTTGAAATTTTTACCAACTCTGGTATTTCCATTAGTATAATGGCTCTGCTACCATCAGACAAACTACTTAGGTTTGGAAGAATTAAGATACTGACATTTGTCTTTTCTCTTACCCTCTGGGACCCTTCTCGGACATTCCCTCTTGTTATTTCACTTGCTCAACCTCACAGGCTCACTAGCTGACCCTGCTCTGGGCAGCTTCACAGGGGCATTATGAGGGCAGCATGCCTCAGAAGGCTAAACAGGTGTTACAGTGACATTATATAAATAAAAGTTGCCTTGATACTCAAGGGTGTGCTTTTAATCTTGGCTCTGTTACTAACTTTCAAAGAAACTGGTCAAGTTCTTGAACTTCTTTTTCTGTACTTTATTAGCAAATTAGGGTGCTTTTTTTCTTCTCCTAATTCAAAAAGACAGTTTTTTTTTTTTTTTTT